AGTAAACATCTTGATTAAATTTTTGTTTCATCGGTAGCTTAAGCGTTTTGTTTTTGTTATTGATAGACTGATAAACAATCTAATTTGTTTTAGCTTTTTCCATCTAAAAATCCCTTTACAAATCACAAAAATAGTGGACAGTTTAAATCGGTTTTTTATTGAAAATAATAGAATCTTGATTTTTCTTTTTAATTTAAAGCAAAATACTTAAAATAATATGCTTCAATTATTGATTTAAAAATCATTGTACTCTATTACCTCACGTATTAGTTACTGAGATAACTTATCCCTTAATTTGATCATGATATTACCCATGACTAATTGTTTATCTGTTATCAACCAATTGGTGAATAACTCCTCTCTGAATAGATCTGTTATCTTTATATTGGCTTTCATAATGTTATCTATTTATTATCAACTAATGAAATATTTACTTAGTGATAATAAACATTTATTTATGTTAATTTCAACGACTATTCCAAGCACAAAGAAAACTACAGTTATTGTAGTAAATCTTAAAAAGTACTATAGTTATGATGAAATAAATAATCGAAATAAAGTTATAATTTGTTTCTATAAAAAACAACTCAATAAATATCAGAAGGGGTTTCGTGGATATTATTGTAACTTTAATAGTTGAGATCATGAGTCAATTGAAGTTAGACCACCATAGAAAACCTGGAAGCACTGGACGGCCGTTCTCACTGATGTAGATGAATTCACTTTTTATCTTTCGATCATGAATTCCAGCCTTCCTTCCCACACATGTTTTCACTCTCTTTTTGAAACATCCAAAAGTTCACTCTCTCATTGTCATTACTGTTACATTATTCCGATCTCTTTTGGTATTCATGTTTTCATTCTTAACTCCGCGTACTATAGTTGTATGACAACTTCGAACAATCATTTATGAAAGGCTCTTTGTTATTGATTACTGACTGATTTATATCTGTGAATACGTCATATCTATCACTTCTGCACGAATAAACTACGGTTACTGTTATCATCTTACTGTCTATAAATTGAGATGTAATGATTATATTAGGTAATAAATAATCTCCAAAATAATTTTCTCAAGTATATGAAAGTAATGAAACGCATGACCATGTGACTTTTTGGAAACGCTAATTTCTAGATGAAAGGCACATGTAAATATTTTTCTTTCTGGCCATAGTTAACAATAACAATATTTTTTACTGCAACAATATTATTTCGGCCACAGGACTCCGGCTATTGCATATTACCATTATAGATACAGAACAGGTTCCATAATGGAATACTTCATCAAACCTTAAATCGGAACCCAAGCAATAGGTAAATCGCATTCGAATTTCTTTTTAAAAAACATATGAGATCTAGTGCTGAACTACTAAGTTTGGTGACCGTATTTTTTTCCTAAACGATGATATTCGTGGTAAAGATTTCACACCACTTACAAAGGATGAGAGTTTAAATTCATTTTGTATTTTATTTCGACCTTCCCATAGATGTTTAGGACTGCAATTGATCCATCTCTGATTAGCATATGTGCATGCTGTACGGATAGCCTCGATATTGTCTAAAATTACAAGCATTATAAGCAAAGATGAATGGTGACTAGTAGTGAAATCCAGGAAGCACGTTTTTTCCTTATTTGTGACTCGTCAGTTAAGTGTACCTGCATTCCAGAGTTGATGTTCACTTCAGGAATGAAACCTAGTACTGTTCGCTCTAAACGCTATCGCGTCATTCACTTAGCAGGTGCATCCAGCTGACGAGTCTCAAATAGGACGAAACGTGCGTTATGCATCCCACTGTTAGCTACCTTTCATCTTTATCTGGTCTTTTATTTATAGTCATAGATTTTATACTCTCATCGTTAACATAAATCAGAATGGCCAGCTTAGAAAAGATAATTTAGTAACAATATATCTCAATAAATCGAAATCTTTGTAATAAACTGTTACATTACGACGCATTTTACTTACAAGAGCATTATTGAAGTTGGCACAATCTTTTAGCGGGCATCGGATTTGGTTCAATAATTCTACCAAATCTTCTGGCTTAATTATCAACAGAGAACTTCTATGTATCATTTTAAAGAGATCAAATTTTATTTTATTCATAATACAAATATGAATTCACATACAAAACTTAAGATTATTTTTGTTTTCTCTCGTAAAATTGCTCCAATCACACCGGTTGTGTTTAAATAAACAAAGAAATTATGATAAAACATTGAATAGCTCAGAAATTGTTACAAATACATCATTGATTATTACAATAGAATATGAACTGATAACTGGAAGACCTTAAAATATATCATTATTTACTAGTAGAAAATACTGCAGAATAAAATGTGTGAAATTTTGTTTAGTTTGATTCAATTTGTTGAAAATTAGTATTATTGTCCAAACCCCACCAATTTATATATATAAATATCGTGGATGTGCACTGCTAAGGTGTCTGTAGTGTCAGTTATTATGGCAAGCCCATAAACCTTATTCCAACTTTCGGACATCCCATTTTATTCATTCTACTTGAGCCATACTTTGACCTTGTTATTTATTCGCTTATCAGTCTTCACTGTTTTTATATGAGCGTATATGTTTGTGCACACCATGTCCCATTGTCTGACTATAAATATTGAGTAACACTTGACTAAAATGTAAGTTGGCTTCCCAGCCATCTTTCCTGCGTGTCATTTTTACTTGGCTTCACCGTGTGCTTGGTTGCTGTACGCTTGCGGATTTTTATTATACATTAACAATAAATTATCTCTACAACTGGTGTTCAGGCTTCTGAATAATCAATCTCGAGTAAATCCGTAATTCTACTAGGAGATCAAGCCTACCTTAAATACTCAGTTTACAGAGATATTATTTATTGGAGTCAGATATTGAGGACATTAGCCTCAACAAGTCGCACAATAAGACGAAATGGCCGTCCAGTGCTTCCAGGTTTTCAATGATGTTTTAACATCAATCGGTTCATGATCTCAATCAAAAACTTAACAATCTCCACAACCCCCAAACTGAGAAAATAACACAAATGGATTTCAATGTGAAAAACCTTGAAAAAAAAACAAATTTCAAATTAAAAATCAAAGATATTCAGTTATATGAGGTTATTTATGTATGATGGTTAACTGCATTACAGACTCAGCTCTAGTATCTAGGCCACATAGGAAAATAATCTTTTTAAATTTATCCAGTGTTACCCTATTTATAAGAGTATAGTCTATACTTATTTAATGAGATCATGAACCGATCAGTGTTAGACCACCGTTGAAATCCTGTAAGCACTGGACGGCCGTTCTGTCCTAAAATGGTAAACACAACAGTATGTATCGACGATGCCGCATGCGGGATTCCGACTACGGAACTTCGGTCTGAATTGGCATCCAACAATTTTAATGCCTGATATTGACTAGTCCATTATTTGATGAAAGAAAACAGTCCAGTTAAATGACAATTAAATGTATTTAAATGAACACCCTAGTTGTATGATTCATCTTCAAGCAACGGGTTCATTTTCATCATCACTCGTTAAAATGTAACACGAAACTAAATGTTTCATTTCAGTTAATGGTACTGCAACTTTCTTATCCTATATATTTCTATCCTTGAGTTTTCAGTTCACTTAAAGTCTGTGGAAGTTGCTGCAGGCGAATATCTTTCTCACCAATACATTCTTTAAGTAATCACATGGTAAATGTTTTATTTACAGAATATCATCTGGTAGATTTCCTGCACTCTTTCTCAACAGATGCGTCCTCACAAAAGTACATTTTATTTGCGATATCATTGAGTACAATCAGAGATAGAGTTGTTGTGGTATCTTTCTCTACATTTATTTGAACTGTTAACTAAATCTTACTTCCTTTTATAGAGTTAATTTTCAATAGAAAGCGTTATAAAAATTTTCTTATAAATAAAGTATACTATTAAAAAATTAATTAATTCACTTCAGTTATCCTTAATAACCAACTGTTCACTATTCATAACTAAATTAGTATCATGTCAAGACAAACATGTTACCTTGCATAATATTGAGTCTTGGGTAATAGGGAGTTTTGTTGTCGATCGACAACCCTCTAGACATGAACGTTTTACGGCTCTTTGTTAGTTTTTTTTTGAAGGAATTTATAAGAGTATGTAATTGTAAGACTGAAAAATATAATACTACATTTTACATAATGACACACATAGTAAGATATTAGCTAGTCATTCTCAGCATATCCGCTTTAAAATTAACTGTCAGTCAACTTGTTACTAATCCAGAATTTCAAACGTATGAAGCGGTCTATTAATGATGATTATAAGCCCCTTCGAATGAGTGTTGATTTACAACAACATTGAATACATTGGTCGCTGCAAATATTTGGGATCATTTCTAGTTTTAATCCTACTTGTTTAACGCTCATTTTGCTACTGAAGCTGTCTATGTGCTATCTGAAAGTGTTTGGTAGGTGACCGATATTTTCTAAAAACTATGAACCATTACAAATAGAAAAATTTATCTAAAAATTTGTAATCAAAAAGTTCAGTCGTTTAAATTAAGTGATTTATGAAGTTTTATTCATTTTTAGTTTGGTACATATTCGTGATGAATGTCATTTTCAAACGTGACTTCATTCTCTTTTTATACCGTTTATCCACTGAATGTAAAATTGGTGCAGAATTTGTTATCTTGCATGATGAGATATTCAAAGATGGCAAATTTTGAGTTCTATAGAAAGAATAAATCTAATGGACCAAGCGAATACGTAAAGATGAAGGTTACATACTATAACTGCTTTGTTTAAAGGGTTAGCTTTAAAGAAAAGTTAGAATAACCATAGGTTATTATTAGCAATTACAAACTTCACTTTACGAGTTCTTATGTCCAGTGCATCAATTCTAAATAACTGGTTAGCATCATTGAATATATTACTGAAAATAAGTCTTGAAAATGTAATTAAAAATGGAATAACACGAAAAAATAGTTTTTCCTCTAAATAACTTTAATAAGTTCTTAATTCATGTGCATTGAGTAATATCTTGCCCGTCAGCAGCATTACCAAATGAAGTAGGATGTCCATTAATTTCTAACTTCTTTATGCAACCATTGAAATTTTTGGATTTGATAAAAACATTCTCTTTATGTGAAGATGAATATCCATTACTCATCAGTTCCAGGTATCGTCTTTGTGCATGTAGAGTTTCAGGGATTCCTCCTAAATGAAAAGCAGCATTAGTTCTTTAAATAACACTACAAATTTTATATAAGTAGAGTCTACTAGAAACGCTTAACTATTAATATAAAAATAAACTGGTAGTCTTAAGAACTTAAATCAGACCTATTTTTTATTGTTTTGATCGCTATAGAACGATCGAATAGTAAATAGACTAAACAAATGCAAAATACTCAACTTTTTCCTGTAAAGAATGATTAACAGTAAATGAATAATCGGGAACATTTTGGATACGGATTATTTATTGCACATGTTTCTATATTTCAATATTTCCATTATAAGGTGTTACTTAATAGTATGTATTATTCTTAAAAATCTATCTAATTATTACCTACTTCTAAAGCAAATATAGGTCTTTCAGTTTAATTGACAAATGTACGGTATTTTACCTGATACTCCATAAATATTAATCTATTTGGTCATTCAGGTATCTTGTTTATTAAGCTGTTGTACGAAATACGAGTGTTAACAATTGTGATATGTAAGGTGTACTATGATATGGTTAGTTATCAACTATCCAATGTAAATACTTCTGGTGTATTATCATTTGCAGATGTAAATTTTAAGAATTAAACATACATATGTTTACCAAAGGACATTTTGACCGATGCTTAATCTACAATAAATTCACTGGTTATAAACAAAACATACTCAAACGTTGTATGTTTGTTTTTTGAAGTCTACACATGTATGTTGTAGAATTAGCAATCTTTCATTGATGCTAACACTTCACAACTCGTCTGAATTCGTCATGTGTTTGAGATTCCGTAAACCAACTTCCGTACTCACAAATCAATTTTTTTCAAAATCTGAGTGAAACATTTATTACTTTATGAATAATTCTCTGACTCTTCTGTCATCCCAATCGGTTTACTTAGAAAATGACCATAACGTTATATTCACAATTGTTGTTTAAAAAATTAAATATTCTGTAGTAAACGGTAGCACGGAGTTCACTTACAGAGAAGCTATACAACTTTGGGTCGTTCTATTTTAAAAGAAGTGATAACTCCTTACTATATTTTTAGTCTGTTTTTTAATCACAATATTTATTTCCATTAGTAATAGTGATAATATAAACAGAATCAAATGAGCTACATTATTTGCTTTTAAAAATGATCTGATTTAAACAGGAATGAAAACTAATGTTATGAATAGAACATGACGTTATCGATTTACCAAAGAACAATTGGACTGGTTGCACTTCATTTTCTTTAAAATAGATTTGAGCAACTTGTGATTGGTTGATAAATAGTGTGATGGCCTTTGAACTTCTAGATAGCAAGCATTAAAAATCAACAAGTCAAAAAATCAGTAAGTCAACATTTGATATTCGGAGCATGGAAACAGTGAAACAACGTGTAACTTAAATATTCTTAGCAGAATGGCGATTTATGGAGAATGTATTAATTTTAATGATTCATGTTTCGACTCACGCTAGATCACCATTGTAAACCTGCAATCACTGAACGGCCGTACTAGGACGAAACGGCAGTCCAATGATTCCAGGTTGTCAGTGGTGGTCCAAATTAGATTCAATCATGAATTCAACTTAAACATTCCATGATAATTATTTCACGGTGAATATGGTTCATCTAAATCCTCAGAATATATCAGTTCTGTAGTTGAGTTTATCTAAATTCCCATATCTAATTTGTTAGGTTTAGAAATATTGTTGTTAAACAGAGCTTGAAACAGAATTTCCGAAGCGAAAGTTTGCCACTACACATTATCTGATCATGGTAAGATGAACGTGATTATGTATAAAGATGAAGGAAGCCTGTGTAATAACAATGACGGTCTTTTATAATACGTAGTTATTTTGACTACACAGTACATGAAACAAGAGGTAAAACTTAAGATGCGATACACACTATATCATGAAAATCTATTTTCTTTTCTCTGCTGCACCAAAACGGTAAATATACAAAGACGACTGTCTAATAATTCCTTTAATTGATGTTCAATTTCTATTTATTACTAATCCCAAACTCTTGAAGATAATATCTTTTATGTTTCTGTAAAGAATTTATTTATATCATAAAGGAATGAAACTATAACAATCAATTTGACTAAGACAAGTATTGAAGAATTCAAAAAGTAATTTTACTCGGTCTTTTACGTAACACTGTTATATGCAAATCTATTGTAGAATGCAGCCTGCCATGAATAATGTAAAGTCAATAACTTCCGTTTCTTTACACAACCTCAACTACTGGATAAAAAAAACGACTATCTAATTTATATTTATGAATAAAATGAAATGAAAGCAGAGGAAGGAGAACGCAATGGTAAAGATGAATCACAAGGCGTGACAATATATGACGGGCTGAACAAAATAAATTTAACTGAGTATGAAAAGAGAAATCAAAAATGTGTATTTATATAATCTTATGCTAAAGTACAAAAAGCTATTGGTATATTGAACCAACTAAATAATTTGATTGTCTTGAATATACAGTGCAAAAACTATTATGCGACAAATTTCATGGCAACCTAGTATGCTTTGATGACTTAACGGAATATTCAGAGTAAACTATAGATGCTGACGTGAGGTATCTAAGTTTGCTTCTTCGGAGGTTTGATAAGTGATTTTGATATCTATAGACAAACGTCTGCTAAATATCAAATGAGCGTGTTTGGCTTAAAAAATGATTGCTAAATTCCAGATAATTTGTCATTTTATCACTCAGGAGCTTGAAAACTCTAATATGTATATTTAAAGCGATTTCTTTGTTTATCTTAACTGTTCGTGATAATTTATAAGAGAAATCTGTCAAAATTCGCCTTAAAATTTCAAGATAATATTTAAAGCATTTACAGTTTTTGAAATTCCTCATCTTACTCACTTCTCGAACTAAATATGAATGATCGCCAAAAACTACTATTAATGACTCTCGAATTAAGTATCCACTTGAATACGTTTTATGAATAAGAACAAAGTTTACTGTGGATTTACGTGTCATTCATATAACATATTTTTAAGTCATGTCGATACAAATAAAAAAATTTTATATCAGTCAACGGTGACTAACTTTGTAAGTATCAGTTTGTGCCAATAGTCTTTCAACTCTAACTTCTCCGAAATGTCATACATTTGTATCAACATACGTTGACTAAATTGGTTACGGCCAATTTTCCATAATTCATCATTGTTCGAGGATTGATTAGTCACGTTAGATAAGGTGACTATATATTTTTCAGTCTCTACATACTCTAAACCTAATTTTAGTCTTCTGCTGGGAAGAAGCTGAATTAATATATTTTGTATTTTGTGTACACTTTGAAATACACCATAGACCAAATATTGTTTGAACAACTTAAATGATGCATTACTTGTTGACAGATAATTTTTCATAGAAGTAATGCCATTTCCAAAACTTTTGTTGGATACCCGGAATTCAAGTGATATATGATAGTGACGACTATTGGGTCTAAAAGGTAAATCATAAAAGATTAATAGTAAATGTTGAATGTTCTCTCAGTAAGTTAGTATAATAATATATAAATCTTAGCAGCTATGGCCCAATACAACAGAATGTAAAATGCTCAGTATGAAAGTTGACTAAATTTATTCAAACAATATCGTTGAATTAGAAAATAGGATAAATAACAGAAGAGTCATGAACAATACATAGAAATAACTTCCTGAAAACATTATGCGTTGATATAATCTATCATAACTAATATAATCAAAACTCTAACTTTTCAAACAATGCTCATACACCATGAGGGACAGTATTCGAACTTTCATAAAATCGATTAACGAGTGGTTATTGACAAAGTGGTTTATTGATGCAAAGAATAGGTCAATTTAATTCAGTTAGTAGAAAAATGAAAGTTAAACAAATTTTACTAAGTACTTTCTTAAATATATGGGAAAATTTAATTCATTTAGTATCGCCAGCTAATACTCTTGAATTGTTTTGTTTCACTATACATCGTAGATCTCCTAGAATATGTGGGTAATTTTATTATAATATAGATATACTGAAATATAAGGAAAGCGATAACGCAAATAGATACAAATAAAAGCTAATCAGAGTTTCCATGAACTAAAATCATCAAGTTATCAAACTTAAATATTAAAGATAAGCATTTATGTTACATATTGTCATTGAAATTAGGTACTGTTTCAAATGGCTTTACAACGAGCATGATGACTACAAACGTGAGACTGGACATCTGCTCATTGTGATATAATTAATATATATATACATTTATGATTATTCATAAACATGAGAGTTAACCTTAAAAATACAAGCGAAGTTCGTTTCAAGTCTTTATTTGCTCTTAGGAAGGACGTTTCAGTAGAAACAACATACATTCGTTATAACCAATGTTCATTTAATCGAAATTTGACTGTATCCAGTCATCTGATATTGATTTTCTTAGTTTTTAGGCTTGAATATCAATTAAGCTGTCAATCAGCATCATATAATAAGGGTTGGGTCATTTCTGACAAAATTAAATTTTTATAAAATGTACAAGGTTACTGATAAGGAAGAAATAAAAGCTTCTCGACGTTTTCCTTCTTTTGACAAATTAAAGGTTTATTGTGTTCATTCATTTATTCAACAAACAGTCTCTCTATTTTCATTAACTAAATCTATAAAGGTTTAACTTTTTGAGGGAAATTCGATAATTAAAGCTTCCAACAAAAATCATTTTTAACTGGAAACAGCGCAATAGCTCGACATCTACTTGACACCGGGCACACCATCGAGATTCCACATGCTTTCAAAATTATCAATAGACAAAGAAGTACGACCACCCTCCGTTTTGCTGAAGCCATCATGATCAAAAAACTCAAACCTGACTTATGCATCCAAAAAGAGACTTTAATTAACTTATCGCTACCCTGGTAACCCCTTTTTATTTTATTTATTTATTTATTTTAAAATATTTATACTCCTCCCCTATTACATAATTCTTAAACCACATTATCATTCACACATTTCCGCCACCTGATCCTCTTAAATTATCTTAACTTTTCAAATTCTATTTTATTATTATTACGTAACCTATCCTATAATTATTCAATTCCATTATTACACCACCCAACCCGAATTAATTCCTTTTGACCTCTGACCTGTTCTAGCATATATATATATATATATATATATATATATATATATATATATTATTATTATTATTATTATTATTATTATTATTATTATTATTATTATTATTATTGTAACCCAGTTATTTACACTCATCTATGTCAATTGTTTTCACTATATCTCAATGTAAAAATTCTATCACAATTTTGGTTTGTAAGCAGCTGACGAGAAACCTCGAAATAATTTGAATTCATACTATTCTGCAACAATGTTTGTTCTTGCTTTATTTAAATTCATAAAGGGAACCAATTGCAGGAAATGAACTTCTCAGTACTTCTCTAGAAGAAGTAAAATAATAGTCCCCAAAACATTATAAAGTTGAATTTCATTTGATCATACTATAATCTCAGACTAACATCACTTGTAAATTCACTGAATTACAATGAAAACTGAATAAACGGTTCGTCGGCTGGAGTTGTAAATAGAAATTTTCGGAACATGAATCTGTAATCCAAACGTATTGTGCTTGTTTAGATAGCTGAATAGTTCGTGTAAAATCGAGTAAAATACCCAGTAATTCAACTGAAATTAGTTCAGGATGTGAAGTGACTCCAAATTTTAAAAAATGTTGAGAGCCTACTATCTTTATAACTGTGCTTGTTATATGATTAAACAGAAGAATATTCATGTTTCTTATTTATTAAAATCATTCGAGACTTAACTTTCTAGTTACTTGACTAAATATCTGCTATTCATAAAACACACTAGGTGTTTTTCGCTGATACCAGGAATTTGAATTTGAAATAAAACATTGTATTTTAAACCCTTTAAGTCATTCTGTCATCATCGCTGATAAAGAAGATCGTACAACTTCTGGAGCAGTTTAAAAACATAACAATCCATCTCTTGTACTTTGTCGTAACGGACTTGACTACATATTTCATCATAACACTTGTCTCATAGCAATGATTATAATTTCATGAACACAATGTGGTTCAAATTTCGTGTTTATAGACTAGTATTGTTGCAATCATCATAAAAAGGAAAGCAGAAGCCAGTTATTAAAAAATATATATAATAAGCGTTAAATGAAATCTTAACCAACCTATAATTTAATGAGTTCGTTGTGAATTTCACGAAACTGTTTTCTCCAAATGTAGCTAATTGCTTCCCTTGCCAATTAATTTCTTAATGAATATTATCAGTGGGTGTTTAGAGAAAAAAAAACAAAAAACATAAACTGAAAATGATGAAATTTCAGTTATTTTGACTACTAATTAGTTCGATAATAATTTCAGTTATCTCATTCTTTTTTCTCAATGATGTATACTATCTGATTGTACGTATTAACAGTTTACCATTAAATATATGTTGCAGATATGTTATGCAATACTAGTTTCCTTAGCTTTCCCTCCGATCATCAGATAGATACATAGTATTTCTTAATTTAAGGGTATCAATACTAAGAATTCACTACTTAAATCAGTAGTACATGTAAATGTTTCAAAAATTTGATTTTCATTCCACATTGATGGAGCTTTATTAACTCTCTTAAGAATAGTAAACCTTATTAGTATATCAATCTACTTGACTAATAAGGGTTTAGTTGTTGTGTAACCTTTAAAACACAATTTTTATAAATCCACAAGTTATATAATTTGTTTACGAGAAACGTTAGTTAGTCAGACTTTCGTATTTTCTGGATACACTATGGAAAATTTAAACAACGTAATTTACATCAAAAGCAGATGTTTAATTCACTTGGTATTGTTTTACTTGAATCTTCTCATCGATGTTTAGGACTTCAATTGATCAGTGAACATCAACCATAAGACCTAGGTACATCCAGCCGACGAGTCCTAAATGAGATGCAACGCGCTTTTTCCTGGATTCCACTGCTAGCCACTATCCATCTTCGTTTATACAGTAGATTTTTTATTCGAATAGAAGTAACTTGGTATGTCATCAGTCTTTTATTTCCTGGACATTAATTTGTAGTCACTTTAAAGATTACTGAGACTAAATAACTTTCATGGAAATGTACATAACTTTGTTCGACTTCCAAAATTATGTGTCACATTTCAACTTAGAGAAAAACGAAATTATAGACCCTTAAATTTGATAGATGTATGAGTTATGAAAAAACATATGTTCATGCAATGAAATTCTGATGTTATTTTACCTAATCATAAAATCCTCTAGTCGCGACAGACGCAAGTATTTTTTAATATGACGGTTTTAAAATGAGAGTTAAAAATAAAAATGTCTTCCATAAGTACATAGCGAATCTAAGTTCTCATATTCGTAGTGATTATTAATTTTCTCAAAAATACAAACCCACATATTACAAGATGGAACATATGCAGTTAGCTCTCAGGCTAAATGTAAAACTAAGTCTTCAGTTTCTAAGGGACGATTGGTTGTAGCGTAATCTGAATACAATATCAGATGAAAGACCATTAAAAATCAGTAAGAATGCAAGAACGGTTTTTTAGTTGTTTGACTCGTTAGAAATTAAAATGCCTTAAACATTACAAAGAACTATATACATCCGCATGGTATGTATTGGATACTTAAAACTTGATGTGCACGTGAAATAATCAAACAGATTTCAATAACTGATTCTAATCAGTGACATGCTGGACACTTGAAATTGAATGAATCCGGAAAATATGAACCGCTAAACGCCTGCTTTGAATCACAAATATGTGAGAGATGCATGTTTAAAGGCAAAATGTAGACTAAAGCAGCAAATACGCACTGTATTTTGTCACTAGTTGTAGGGGATAATTGAAATCAAAGCTTTTTATTTTAAATAAGCATGAACACTCCATTTTATGAAGGGTGTCCATTAATAACTAATTAAAGGAAGGAAATTACTATAAAAGCCGCACGGTATAATATACGTTTAAGACTAGTTTTATGCTTTATATCTGTTTGATATCGAAACTCAGATAATCTCTTTTTCTTTTCCCGTCAATAATTCCATTTTAGAAGTAAGAGGTTATGTAAAGTAAAATTTCTGCCTATTGATAATATCACTAAGATTATCTAAAAAATGCCACCAGTGCTCTGCTATTACAATCTAAATATATTCTTATATTATTATCATGTGGTTTAAAAACTGTTTAAGAAATCTTATATTCCCTTATTCAACTCCATAAGTTTTGTAACACATATGGTATGCATAGCTCAAATTTTAATATGAAGGATGTCGCATCTAAAAATCAGATGCCTTTTGAATAACGGAATGGATAGTCAGTGTATATTTAGAAAATTCAAAGTGATAAATTGTGGTCTCTGACATTTTGCAAATACTGAAATCTGAATGATGCAGATTGTCAATCTTAATCTTGAGTCTCAAATAAAGTAGTGTTCAGCTTTATTAAACAGTTAGAGGGAGAACAGTTTTACAAACTTGTATACACAACTAGCATCGTCATTATTAGTAAACAAGTGCATTAATTTCAACTATCGGTGAGAAGTGATGATTGAAACACATAAATTGGAATAATGAACTGATATGTTTACGCAATTCAATGAACATGGAAATCAGGCGCTTCATACTGCTGTAGAACATGACAATCGACAGAAGATTTGTTTATTACAAATGGTTTACATAATACATATACACAGCTTTCGATCATCCGTTTGCATCTCACAGTGTGTTCTGCAATCCATACTATCTTCTGGTCTAGTCATCGAGTGTTTTGTCTACATACAAGCTTCCGATGTACTGGAACTCTTCACTCTGTCTGACGACTGCAACAACTTCGGGGCCACGTTCCGCACCATACTACTTACAAAAAATCTTGTGAGCGGCGTCTACTACACTATTCTTAACTACATATACACTGCTGAGGCAAGCAGTTAATAAACTCCAATCCTGGATGAATAACCTTTTAATAAATGTGATAAATAACCTAAATAAATGGTAGCATCAAGTATCAGTCAAACTTTGCATTTACATCTCTTGTAAACCAGAAATGTTTTACCCCCGAACAGTACTCTGAATATCTATTACATCTAAATTATTTTTTCCTTCGCATGATAAAATTGGTTAGTCTTAAACATATATTTTTTATTCAAAAATAAATAAATAAAATAGTCTACTGGTTTTTACAAAGTGCGCAAGCACAATGCCTAGTCCGTGCCTACTTTTCAAGCATTAACTATCTGTTTTTTTTACTGGCATCTTTCAATAAAATGAAGATGAACTTGAAGTTTTCATTGTGCATCTAAGGGACTTACATTGGTTTTCTAGAATTAGTTACCCACAAGATTTTTAATAAAAGCTTTGACAGTTATAGGACTATTTCTTTTAGTTTTGTGATACATCCTATCTATTTTCCCTCAGATTTTTAAACGTACTTTAACGATGACTGCTCGAGGCCATCATTCGAAAATATGAATACGAATGTATGTTTATAATAACTATTAAAGTTTTTCGTATTTTAGTAGTATAAATTTCTTAAATTCAGTGATCAAATATTATATAGAACCTAAATATGCCTAATTTAAGTTCTACTTGCTGCAAATGGATCTTTAAAAGCAGCATAGAAGAATCTTTGTGTTGATTTTTCATTTGAGAAATTTAAAATAATTTGATAAATCATTAACACACAGAAAAATCAGAAAAATATACTCCGTTCGTTATTGAGAAAATTTATTTATATCCTATATCATTATTAAATTAAGACACAATAGGTTTTAATGCTTTGTTCAGTTCATAGTAAATCTAAAAATTAGGCTTGGAATAGCACAACAGTTGAATACAATTGCTTATTTAAGACAATAATATATATAATTGCAATGATTAATTTGCTTACTTTCTTTACAGTTCTTCCCCTGAAATCCAAGTGAACATAAACATCTAAAACCTTTTAAGTCCTGTAAACATTTCCCGTTGTTTAAACATACAGGTTTTGGAAATCCACATTCTTGTCCAGGACAATTTAAAATATTCACGCCACCTATCGCATTCTTAATAGGATCAATAAGTACTCCGTTTGTTTCAATCTAACAGAATATTGTTTAAAAGAGATCAGAGGCACAAACGTTTTGAATACATAAAGCTAAATTTTACTATGAACGAAAAAAGTGGCACTTAAGGTGTATGAAATTTTCGGTTTTCTCTTTGTGACAACACAAAATTCTATAAAAACAAGCAGTTTATCCAATGTATAAATTATGGATCCATTAATAGTTATCTATTGTCACTGAGATCCTCAGTGGGAATGAGATATATGAGTGGTCCCGTTTCCACTTTATTTTTGAACTGACTGAAATTCAAAACCAGGATTACGATAGATCACACAACATGTAACTACGCGTGTTTCAAAACTGAAAAATTCATGCACCCAATATTGTATTTACTAAACAATATCGCCTTTAAAATACGTAAAATCACAGTCTTCAACCAATGGAAACAAACGGTTGATTATATCATACATGTTGTTGTAAAATATTGATCATTTTTCATCATAACAATTCAGCTTTAGTTCACAATTTAAGTCCTATTCATAGATGTAATGAAGACAAATATCATTTAGTCAAAAATATTTATTACTCCATTCATTACAAAAATTTGTTTGGAAGTTGAGCTTTGGAATGAGATGCACACAATACAAACTTGAAACAAATAGAAACGCTATGCAGAAAACATTTCTATGAAAATCCCTTTTTCAACATCTTAAATGTCACTTCTGTATCATAAAAATTATTTATAGTTTAGGGAGAACCAAACGCAATTCATGGAAACGGGAGCCTTACTTCGAAGATTCGCTAACAATTGACGTATCTATCTATAACTTTGAAAAAGATAAAAGATTTTAAGTGTCCAGAAACACTTTAGAATAAATTAAGACCTTGAAGGAATTTCAACTTAGTCATAATTTAAGACTTATTGTTGACAGAAAGATTCATCTTCAGAAATCTAAAGTTCATATGATCATTTAAAATTATAAGTAAATGCATGGTTATACTGTTTGTAGAGAAAATGAAAGAGAGAATCTAGTGATCTAAAAATACGAGATAACTGCAAAGTATTGTTCTACAGATAATACAGCCTAGTGACATACTTTACTGATGCATCCTTGAAATCCAATACTCAAATTTGTTGCATATCCAATAAATGGTTTTATATGGGTTGATATAAAATTAGCATTTGGATGTCCACCAAGATACAAAGAGTAAGTTAACGTTAGCTGAACTTGTAAACCGAATGAGTAATTTGTCATAATATGCTCTTCTGAGTCGACTTGGAGATAACCATCACGACCGATTCGCCAAAAATGGACTATGTGCCATTCATTTAATTTTATTTCTTTTTCATTCCTAATTATAAAAACGGAAATTATTTTATTAAAATTTAAGAATGCCTTGATTGAAAAGATATTCAAGATATCTGTCTATCGTAGTTGTAGAGTCATATTAATAGAAACAAACCGCTTAGGGGTAAAAAGACTATAGGGAAGATAGGAAGAAAGCAGATGGCCTCTATAAAAGTAAAGAAGGAAAAAAGTAACGAGAGATTGAGACCACGTTAGAAAAAGGGTTTGTGCAAGTTTCTTTGTACAAATAATCCCAGTCTCTCCAGATGTACGGCAAGTTCTTCTGTAATGCTAAAAAGATGGAAACTAACTGACTTTGTCAGCCTTCTGCTTACCTTGAAGATGAATTGAACACAGAACCCGTTATGGTCGAATGAGTATTGTTCACAAGGTGTTCGACCATAAAGCTTGTTAATCAGGCGTTTTCAGCTCTTTTCAGCCGAACTGAGTAACGTTTTTAAAATCTTTCGGATAGGATACACATATAACAACCTATATACCTGGCTCCACACGAATAGGTAAGTTGATAAACGCACATGGAATCGGTCGAATGCAATAACCTATTCCTTTTAGCGCTCAAATATCCATAAAGTATGACTGATTCGCAAATCAAATTTGGTTGCAAGCAGGTTAGTTAGTTCTTCTAACTATTTTCAAGAACTTATGCTATATGTTATATATTATTATTAGTCTGGCATTTTAAAAGCTAAGAATCCTCTCACATATTTAGATGAGAAAATCTAGCTATAATAACCCCATAGTCATCCGTTTGGGGAGGTTATATATTTAGAACTGCATACTGCTAACAGAAACATTACCACCCATGTTGGCTTGTCATGTTACTCTGATCTTTAGCGTTTACGAACTAATAGTAGGTATCTTCTAATCTAGGCTTAAAGGCTGATGAAACGAACTTCTAAATTTTAACCACAACACCGAGTAATCTTACGCTCCTTGCTTTAGTCCACCGCGACGTCCACAGACTTTGCAAGAAGTGACCCATCTGCAGAATAGAAATTACAGTCATATAGATATTTCGAATAAACAATATTCCATGGTCTTGAAGTTTGAGCCTGGTTAAGGCATTTGCCGTACTACTTATAACCATTAAAAACATCTCCAAAACTTGGTGCTTTTTAATAGCAATGTACAGCCTTCTATTTCTTTTACATCAACTAATTTTTATTAACATTCGTATTGTAAGGTGTGGTCGTGATCTTTGTTAGCACCCAAGAACTGAGTATCAGATTGAATATTATCCGACTACTGGTGTGTTCAATTATTTCCTCATCTGCTAGTAAACTTCCGGATCTGAGTCGACTATACTCGCAAAAAACAGAAATAAGCTTACTTTAAAAACGCTGAACCGGAACCTAAGTCAAACGCCACTACAACATATCCATGAACTAACATAATAGCCAAGAAGTCCCCACGCCTATCATGACTATAACCTTCATATAAAATCAGCCCGTTTGGTTGTGATGGTCTAAACTGAAGTTCCAAGGTGGTGAATGATGATGATGTTCCACTCAATCCGATATACTCGGTGTACGAATATCCGTTGTAGAACGGCATTATTAGCTCAACTCCTGTGAGAAGATAACAAAAAATATTTAGATAAATATAAGTTTATAAACTAATCATCAAAGTACTAATGAATGCCAAAAATGAATTTTAGAGAAGCAAATCATTGATTTCTACGGGAATAAAAATATCTTTGCTAGAGATTGGTTTAAACCGAGAACAAATGATTAGCAAAATGATGGAACACTATATTAAAGCTTCAGATTCTCATGCAGCAATCACTACTTTTGTAATCGACTTGAAATGAAAAAATGATTCTGTATGTAGTCCTGTCGTACATAGAATAAGTTATTTTTGTACGGTAGCCGGGTTGTGAGAGAGAGAGAGAGAGAAAAAAAGTAACTAAATAAATTGTTCTGAATAAAATATATCATTAAAAATTGGACATGTATAGCAGCGAAGAGTTTACAAAACTTTTTAATGATTTCCAAATAATTCAAAATAAATTCGAGCTTATATATCTATGGGGAACCTCGAATCAATGAAGCTTGAGCACTCAGTCGAAACAACTACACTCTATTGTAGGTTATGATATATTTCTTGTCTGCAACAATCAGTAGCGTTTTATGTACAAACTCAAACTGTTTAACAAAGCATACGATTATATTCAATTTACAATGGAACAAGAAGTAGGAAGTAGACACCATTTCTTACATGTTAGGATCAAACGAATTTCAGATGGAAAACTACAGAGACACGTCTACCATGAAAATATATAGAGTGAAGTTTATTTAAACTACATGGAATTTCGTTCATTAAGTTATAAAAATGGGGATTGTATGAATCCATTATGACCACACGCATAAACTCTGCTGAAAGGAAGACCTGGAAGAATAACTTCCCTTTATTACAACTTGCTTACGTGAAATGCATATTCAGCGAGATTCATCAAGAAGTATGTCAAAACCAACGTACTTGTTGAATACGATATGGTGGGAAAGAAAATCCGCTTCTTATAATTGTGCTTCAAATGATATAAAGTCACTGGAATAATTAGTCACGGGATAAATGTCTTAGTGAAGGTTGTTTATTCATCAGCAAGAATGACGAAGTTGTGTTAAATGAACTGCTCACTCAAACAAATAAAAGCTGACAAGTCGTCTTTTCTCAGTACCACCGATTTATATGTACGTCCCAAAGCACATACATAGGAAGAACAGGGAGAAGAGTATATGTCCGTATTTTTGAGCACGTACCAAAAACTTTTATACTGAGAAGCTCAACATTTCTAAATAATGCAATAGCCCTCCATTTAAATAACACTAAGGATATCATTAACATTCCCTAATTCTCCAAAATTATCAGAAAACAAGAATGTGAAACGTCTCGCCGGTTTGTTGAATCAGTAGCAATCGAAGAACTCAAACTTGACTTATATGTTCATAACGAGATAGTAACCAATTTATTACTACATTGGTAAATTTACAGTTTTGACTAATTTCACCTGAAATTATTACTTTTTTGTTATTAACATTATTGATATTATTTTGTTAGTGTTTATTTAGTTAAGTGGTCTTCGTTAAACTAAACTAAAAGGACGAGTATACTGCGCGGCAGTCCGTTCTGTTTTAATTTACGGCAGCGAAACATGGTCATTAAGAGTAGAAGACACTCGTAAGCCATTAGTATTTGACCACAGATGTCTAAGAAATATTGCTGGTGTCTGCTGGGATCACCGGGTAAGTAATAGTGAGTTTAGACGCAGGGTATTGGGAAAGGATGATAAATCAGTTGATGAGGTTATGAATCTTCATCGACTGAGATGGTTGGGCCACGTGTTACGTATGCCTGAACACCGATTACCACGACGTGCAATGCTAACCGGTATTGGAAATGGTTGGAAGAAAGTTAGGGGCGGCCAAACCAAAACGTGGCATCAGTGCTTGAAGACACTAACTTCTAGTCTGAGCCATGTTGGTAGATGCAGACTACTTGGTTGGTGTCCGCGTGACTATCGTAACCAATGGTTGGAGACTCTTGGTGACATGGCTCAGAATCGGTCACAATGGCGTCGGTGTATACACTCCCTGTCTTCCCTTAAATTATGAGATTAAAATCGCTTCATATCTTTCTTTCTACGAACCAATTCTTTCTTCTTGTACTATATCTCTATATGCAATCTTTCTCCTATATATTACCACCTTTTACCTAACCACTGTTATGAATCCGGTGTTCATCTTGTTGTTTTGATGCGGTATGGCAACCTGGACCGATGCACATATGTGCCTGGTCCTACGTTGTAGCTGACTGACTAAACTAAATCTCATCTAAGTACACCAAACTCATCCCTTCCTTCAGCGGTTTTCTTGTTCACTCATTTGTTTAAACTCTTCAAATCTTGTTTGATTATTACTTAATACATCCTGTCAATTTCTAATTCTAGACAAAATTACCAACTAATGACTAAATATCTTTTATATCTGCTTTCAAGTGATTTCAATCCTATTTAAACTCTTCACAACTTCTATGGTTATCAAGCTATTTATCATATCTGTTTCCTAACTCCATTTAATTACTGACTCATCTCCATTTTCAGATGATCGCACATATACATGCACATATATATGATTGTACAGCTTGATAATAAATTTGCTGAAAAGAGATCACTAAACTTCGTGTTTTTATTGTTGAAGTGGAAATTGTCTATTTATGTTTTAGCCGACGCACAGATCGGCATGCATACCTATCTAAATAGAAATTGGCTGAACCATTATAATCAAAGACACTAATAGCATTCTTCCCCCAAATCCTGAAATCGTAGTTTACGTCTTTTCTATAAGAAATTAAAAAAAAAGAATATAATTGGCTACATTTGCTTTCATTGATTCTGACGAATAAAGTAAACGGTAGATGAAAAATATTTCATTGAGTCATTTACCTACATATCTAAATAGGAATTTTAACCTCATTAAAATATAAACGATTATTCTCTGAAATGTGTATCTGAAGATAAAAGGTTTTTAAAGTTTTTACTGTCACTGTCAGAAGTATGTATTTAACTTACTTTGTTCACATTGTTGACCCGAAGTTCCCAAAGGGCATTGACAAATAACACTGGAACCAGATGTTTGCAAACAAGAGGCATTGTTTTTGCATTCTTTCTTTTCACATAAACCGAAACCACAATTAGCTGAAACCAGATAAGAAAACTGAAAATATTCTCATTCACTAGCGGAATCAGTGAACTATTTCAGGACATTATAAGTATAGATACTTCGAGTAACGTGTAGTATTCACTTTATCAATCATTCTGTAAACGCTGTAGTTGTAAAATCTGTAAACGTTTTGACGAAATTAGACGTATCATACTACTGTCTTCGTGACTACTTTTAACTTTGAGGTTATAATTAACATTTTAGATAGGTAGAAACATAAAAAGTTATCAATAATAATATGACTGACAGATATACGACTACATAAATATATCAATTTATTCTAGTGATTTCAAGCTTGCGAAGTCAAGTAAAGAATCCATGTTCAAAACAAATATACCCCATCTATCCTAGTCATAACCTGTGTTTCATCGTAGTCAGGTAACCACTACCTCTGCATCACACAAAAAGCTAAATTAGGTCATCTTTCCGATCATTTTTAGTGCGATTTAGTCAACATCAGTTCAATAACAACACGAATTTTTATACAAAACCGTTTTAAGAAAGTATAATGGCCATATTTCATCCTGCAAAAATGGAGTCTATCAAAATTCATAAATGACAAAGAAGTTGTAGATGTTTACAAGAAATCAATACACTGATTAATAAAACAAAACATGAATGCAGTTTAACTTACTAATCCCATACCCATCCACAGCATCTCCTAAGAAAGCCTTACGTCTAGGATCTATAGGAACTTCATTAATCCGTATATTTTGTATGCAGCCACTATAACTTCGCTCAAAAATATAACCAAGAAAATGAATTGGACCTCCTGTTTTAGTTAATTCAGGATGTCCACCAAACGAGACATAACTGAACTCCATATCATTGACATTTTTCAGATATTTTTCATAATGTATAACATCCGACCATGGAATGACCTATAATTTTCATATATTAAATAATTCATGACAGGGAGTAGGAATAATCAAAATGATTCATTCGTATATATTATTTTACTGACATTTATAGGCTACTTACAACTATAAGGCGATATTTATTACAACCATAAAAATGATCTTATATTGTCAAGTAAAGTTTTAAAAATTAATGGGTATGAAATTTCAATGAATTAAAAGAAGAAGAATATTGTCATGAAAATGGATGATCATTAAAGTACCACTTAGGAAATTTTCCGTTTCAATTGCTTAATTATATCAAACAAAATCAACATACATGGTCGATTTCTCAAAAGTTTTTCACTTGAATCAACAAACATATAACTTCACATATACTCCAGTAATACAAATTCAAACTGAAATATAATAGCAAAAAGTTTCAAAATACAATTATGAAGTATTTGCATGCTTTTAAACTATTCTTCTGGTTATCCAGGTTGTGTTAAATTATAGTGAAGCCAGTACAAGTTAATCAGTTTATCTTAATCTATAAACTATACTCTATATTCATAGTCTACAAAACATCATGTTAATTTATAAACGCTGTTTACTTATTCAGACGCAAGGTCCCCTCAAAACAAAACAATAATACTGTTTAATATACATGAGAGTGAATCAAATAAAGACTTATGAATGATTTTAGAACTTAAAAGAATTATTTCCAAGGCTGACTGACTGACTGACAGATGTTCTACTTATATTACCTTAGACAAGAAGACTATCTAATTCCTAAACAAATTATTGATCTATAAAGTCAACTGATTAAAAGGATAAATGTAGTGATGACAATGACAGACAAGCTGTAAAATTTCTTAATTACTTTAATTACAAAACTTTATTCATTTCAATTCATTAGTCAGTATTGAACAAACAGTTTGGATATTCACTTTCAACAGATGTAAAAAAAGTGATTTTTTTTTAAAAGTTCAGTTTGGCTATTTTAGTACTGTATAATTGTACTAAAAATCTTAGTTTAACTTCTATGAAAATGTAAACTCGTAATTTACACAAACTGAATTACCTAACGCTTACACCAATAATGAAATTATATTTGTAAACATATGACCGGTTGAATTTAAAATTAATCCAACATTTCTGTCTTCAGTCTGCTTCAAGCTTCTTTAGGAGAAATAATCAAACATTAAAATTACCTAATATCATCCAACAATTAATTGTATACTAGATGTTATAAATCGAACATGTCGGGACATGAATAAAATGAGAATAAATAAACAAACAAATATATGTAACTTTGTGTTATTCCACTAAATAATCTGATTGTTCAAAACAATTGACTGATTAGAGCAAATCGATGAGGGAGTAATATTGTTGTTGTCCACGAAACAAGAGAAGAATTAAGTGAAGTAAAATGTAAAATGAAATTCAGCTTTTCTTCGTAGTAATTACTCTTTGCCATAGGATCTACCTAACGCTTAGTATGATGCAGCTTAGTGTTTGATTTCACTAAGAAACATTTCGGTATCCAGAATTTATATAATAATTCAAGAATACTTCATAAATATGAATTTCATCCAAGCACTTTCATTATGATTTTTCTGGGAATTTAAATAGTTTAAACTGCAAGAATTTGTTATGTGATGCCAAAAAAGTAGGCTAAACATTCCGTCATAGTTGGTTAAGTGCTAAATAAATTCAAAGCTAATTTTCTTCAGTCTCCTATGACAGCTTGCCATTTTTATTCTGTGTTCGCATTCGACATATAAATGTTATTTTATTAAGGAAAAAAACTGTCTTGTCTTCGAATTCGAATCAATTTGGATTTCAAGTCGATAATACGGCCTCGTGAGTAGTCGTCTTTGAGCCACAATTCACACAACTGAATTTATCTATCTATTACTATTCTATCCGTTGATTTTACAAATCTTAAATTTCGTTTAATCACTTATCATAAACCACTTCCATAATAGATTACTTGTACAGTGTTTTACGATGTTAAAATCATTAGTGTGGTAGATTTACGAAATGTATTTTTGTTCGAATTTTGGAGCTCATTTGATAGGATTTTCCAGGTTTTCCTGTTATTAACTAACTGTAAACACATAATTTGTTTTTAAATATACGAAGGATGTCAGTCAGGATAACATACGTTTATTTTAAATTGATGTGTCAATAAGTTTTTCCATCATCTTTCTGTACAATCATTCAACCTTTCAAAGTATGACTGCAAGAAAATAATATTTCATGAAATACTTAATCACTTAAACATAAAACCCTTTTTATACCATAGAACGAAGTACAAAACTTTAGTGAGCATGTCCACTTTCTATGCTGTATAGTCTTATTATATTATTACATTTGTTTGATAAAATTAGCAATTTATGATTATGACAAAACCCATTTATTCGGTATCCCTATGTAAAGGGACTCTTATCTGAATTTGTGTATTGTTCTGCGAACTAATGAAAATTTGTATTAGTTCATGAACTAATAACATTTGTATACGCATTTGCCTACTGAAATCTATTAAAGTACCATCATCTTTCAGTAAAAAATTAAATTTAAAGCTTCGATTGTAGTTAGAAAATATAGAAGTATGGTATTAAAGAGAAACTTATTTTCATATAAACGGCATCTTCTTTAATTCCATCAACACTCAGGAAACCTTTTCCATCAACTGTCTCCCCAAAGGAGATATAATACCACTGCTCACTGTTAAGGAATGTAAAATGCTTAACTTCCTGGATTTCCTCTTTACGATAGGGTTCATAATTTGTTTTCGAAATTCTCAGAGATCTAAATAGAAAAAGATGGAATACATCAATAAAAAGACATTGTGTCTTTAAAAGAGTGTAAAGGTATCATTTTCATTGGAAACGTTTAGCAGATATTTACTAATGTGATGAGTCGGAATTTAATGCATGTCTATTAAGGGACCATCTAATTAAGTCAATGAAATGAACTCTCTAATGTTATTTTAATCTACGTGAAATACAGATTGTCGTACCAGATACACTGTTTGTAGAACTTTACGTGACACTTTATATGAAAATATTGAACCTCTTGGAGTTTTATTTTACAAAACCTATAAAGACTTAAAACAACCAATCATTACGAAATGGAATGAAAGCAGTTTAAAATATTTTTAATACGAAACACAATATGGAAACATATTAGCAGTAAGTTCACCAACTTAATTTCATGAAATATGTACTAATTAGAGAAACCTTTGTAATGCTACAGATCAAAATGCTAATAATTAGGTTTTCTAATCGTTTTGATTAAAATGAACTAAACGTAAACAAGACATATTACTTCACATATTGTTTCCTTTATTTTCGCAAACCTACTAACTTAAAATTTGTATCTGTCCGTCAGTTGTTATCGCAACTATGTGTAAACCTATAGATATGTAAGGTAAGACATGACACTCATCATGACATACATTTCTTTTTTAATCATCAAAAGCACATGCTGTGCATTCCAGTACTGATTCCTCTGTTATGTCTCTTGAAACTCCAACACCTGCTTTCTTTTTTACTAAAAGACAGTTTGTCAGAATGTTTGCATGTTATAATCTATTTATCAATGATAATCTCGTGATTATATTCAAACACAGATAAAATAATCATTCAATATTTAATCGTAAGTTCATCTACTAAAAAATTCTGCAGAACACTTGCAAATCTCATCAAATGCAAATATTATAAAACTGTAGCACTATCATTGCATTATTAAATAATAAAACCAGCATAGAAAACAAACCCCACTCCTTCAACTTAGTAAATAGTTTGACCTATTTGCGTGCGACAAGAAAGTAAAATTAAAACTGAGTTAAATGTTAATTATTCAGAATTCTGCCAATTCAAAAGTATGATGTTACATTCTAAATATACCTGACAAGGTAATATCAATGATGCAATTTTGAAACGGAAACAGTCGATTCACTGTAGCAATAAATAAGAATGATTGTTTCTAGAATGAGGCCTCTCAATCAAAACACATCTATATTTCAAAACGTCTACTAAAAAAAGAATAAAAATGACGAAAAAGAAAAGTCGGATCGTAGAATTAATCAGTAGACTTATTGAAGGGAATCTAATCACCAAGTTGACTAATAATATTTTAAACATTAAGAATCTCATTTGTATTAGATATCTAGTCTCTTAAGCTACATCAATGGATTGCCCCATTACAATGCATGCTGTTAATTTGATCAGTTAATCACAAAGTCACTTGTTGGCTAACGTAACCAGTTTGCTGACAACTGACCCTATAAGAATAAGTATAATCGTTTGAAAAATGAAGTCAAACCAATATTTCCTATAGGTTTATCCGGTCATTTGGTGTAACTTCTCTTCTTGATAAGACCAGCATCACGTGAAGTAAAATGATTCTTGTTAATGTAAACTAAAGGTGTTTTAATATGAAATTGAACATTTCGGATTGCTTATATCATATCTGACAGAATCCTTTCTACAAGTGTATGAAGAATGAATTATTCATTTTTGTTTATTATTTTCACATCCATCTGTTTGCGGATTTTCCCAATAAAAGTAGATTAATATATTTTACATAACATAACACAGATGTAACTACCTCTGTCTTCTAACTTTCCTTTACTATCAGTCATCATTTGATGACTAATTTTAAGGTACACGAGATCCCGAAAATTTATTTTCTTGAATAATCGTTATTATGAAATTACAGCATATTTAATATTAACAAACTAATTGACTATGAAACATAAATCGTTTATCATAGTGGCTTAAGTTAAACTTTAAGGTCCCTAAAATACTGTGTAATAAAGATAATATTATGTATTAATAACAATAATAATACACATATCTAACCTGTATACTACGTATCCATTTTCAATACTGAGTGAAAACTTAAAATCTCCCTTATTTGACTCATGGGATACTAATAAATAATTTCCGTCAGTAAGACTTGGTCGTATTTCAAAATCCACTTTATAGGTATTAGTACTGTTCATTGACACTTGATTACTTCTTTCGATGAAACTTTGATTGATACCACTGTATAACGCAGACGACTTAAAGTAAAATTTTAGATAACCACCTTGCTCGATATACGGAAACTGGTATCCTTCATCCACTGTGAAGAATTGTAAAATCACAAAAATAAAAGTAATGTGAAAAGAGCTATTATGATCAGCTTTAATCAGTGATATACTTTGAGAGACATATAAAGAATAACTCTGCAATAATTCAGTATAAAAGTATAATTATTTTGAATTTTTGGATCACTCAGTGAAATCTGAAAATTTCTCATTGTGACTTCAAGAAATATCTTGAGTGCATTCCTTCATATGAAGTGAATTAAATGTGATAGTTGTAACTAAATAATCCTGCATGAATTTGAATAGGTGTATAATTTCACTTGTTTATTTCCATCACACAGTCTATAGTATGCTAGCAAATTTAAATATAACTAAAAACGTAATTCATTTTGCATTGGTTGTTTGAATCTTCTCATTGAAGTCTAGAATTGGAATCGATCAGTTTCTTATTGGCATATGTGTATCATGTTTTGATTGCTTCATTATTACCATAAGTCACAAACATTATAGGCAGAGATTGACGTTGGTTTTACTTAAAACTCATCAGTCGGATGTACCGGCGTCCCACAGTTAATCATCACTACAGGATTCGAATACCACCGAGTTACCTGCTTAGCTCTTCAATCCAAACCAACTCTGGAGTGCAGGTGCATCCACCTGACGAGTTCCAAGTAGGGCAAAACGCGCGTTATGGATTCCAGTACTAACCACCATCAATAACCAAAAACGGTTTGGACGAAATTCAACGTATCCATTGTATAGTTATTTGACAAACGCACACGAAATAAAAGATCTGAATTAAAATTTGATTGATAACTGGCATTCAAACTTGAACGCTCATTCAGCGAAAACGTTCTTCGACTAGAAGATTTTACGGACTCAAATGAAGTAATAGGTTAACTTATAAAATGCCTTGAAATGGTTATAAAGTCCAACACCGAACTTAAAGTAACGGATGGTAGTCAGTTTAAAAAATGGAACACAATAATTTAATAGAGCGGTAGAAAACACTGTTTCGTATACAAATTATCAGTCTTAACGAGCGCTGAAGCTGATAGCTGGATGAGCACACATGATATGTGCTAGAAATGCTATAACACTCAGCTACATTACTGTGATAAAACGCTCCTAAATATTTCGGATCTCAATTGCTAGTCACTAGTTTTAATACTAGCAGTGAACTTTACAATAAGCAAACGGAAATCATATTTTTTAAATTCTATCTAATAAATGAAAAGCCAATGAAACTTTATTATAAAATAACCACTTATTAAAACAAAACTATCATTAATTATGTCTATTTGTCTGAAATAATAGAAAAATGGAGAAACTATACTGTATACCCCCTTCCTTCGCTTTTATGAATGATTTCCGGAGATAATGTAAGATGACAAATTATCAGTGCATAAAATAACTTTCAGATGCTTATAATTTAAAAATGATTTATAAGGTGGATAGTTGAGCGCGAATTGAGAATTAAAAACTTATCAGAGCTTGACAGTTTTTGAAAAATAGTAATGCTAGAAGTAAATAAAGACATCTAAGCATTTTATGCTGAAGTATGAAAAACGGCTTTTGATACACTTAATAGAATTAATAGAAATGAAACTTTAGGACGTGATGTGTACATTTTTTAACGAACCTGAATGATAGCCGAAAAGAATTAGAATTATAGCTCTAAACCCAATGCTTTCCGTAGTTAAGTAGATTCCATAGAAAATCAGAATAAAGTAAATCAACTGTTAAATATTCTCAATTTTCAATAGTTTTAAGTAATATTGCAATGAACGAGACCGCAGATGGGAACAACCAATGTATTTTGATACGAAATTACAGAATGTCTCGGTAAAATATGCGAGACATACACTGAATACTTCATTTACAAATTTTCATAATTTTTTCTTTCACATTCTGTATGATTCTTCCCATTCGCACTCCCTTTCTATCCGCGTTTCCCTTATCTTCAACATGATCTTTTCAAACTTCTGCTGCCAGGGTTTCCACTTCGGTCTGGTGTCACATACTACTTAGGTCGACAGATATAAGTAGCATACACCACAGTATTACTATTCTTAGAGAGCATTCTTCATTAGTTACGGAACCTAGAGAAGCGATCTCATAATTTCAATTATTTCATTCTTAATCAAGTGTGTTAAACATACCTATGTATAGGGAAAGGTTTGGCTTATCTAAAAACGTTTTACAGTCAACATAATCGGTTGCTCGATAATCAACGAAGTACGAAAACAGAGAAAGTTTACCAGAATAATTATTTCATTAGTAGTTGATTTTTAAACTTTTAGGGAATTAATCAGTCGGCATCCATTCCTCTAAGTATATTATGTAAAATTTAAGCAAAATATGTCAATTAAAACGGGTGTTCCAGAATTCCAACGAACAGTGGTTTTATCAACAAAGTTTCGGTCACCAGCACTTTAAATGTAATCTACAACAATATACCACAGTTTTACAGCATGGAATACAACATACATATTTACTATAAGTCTAAGAATTAGAAAAATTGAAAAGTATCCCTTGATAATATCTTCAAAAAAAACTCTTACACTTTAGTTTTCCGACGGATAAATTATAGTATAAAGTAAACTAAGCTATAATCATAATAACTATTGACAGTAATTTATATAACTTGCTTTTCATTGAACATAATCAACGCTAATGAATAATACAAGGGTTATCATCTACATATTGCTACAACTACACACCAAGCCGTAACTTACTATTGAAAACTTTGAGTCGCACAACGCAAACGTACTACAAAGACGAAAGGTGAGGATTTATTCACATTTCAAAAATCATATCTGAATACACTAATTTTTATATGATTTGTTTACAGTCAGATGTGTATTTGACAGATTAGTATTTAACATTAACTAATCTGTAACCTACTATGTGAACAGTCATTTACGATATTGATTATATTGAATGGCTCCTTTATAAAATGTGACCACATTTCATAGATGATTGTGGTTATTATCATTATTGCCATTATTAATTACTTCATTCAATATCATATTTTTTGTGCAATATAGAATTCTCAGCACAAAGTACCTCAGCAAATTTCTTTTACAAACGAAAAAAAAAAAGAAAAGAGAAGAAAATTGGCAGAAATCAACTTTATAAGTCACTTAAATTTCAAACTCGTTGTTTATCAAATCACGCATAAACTCCATTCTAGAATTGGTCTTATAATACCCTACTCATAAAATATGTTACAAAACCCACTTTACAAATAAATAAAAAATTGTATTCTATGAGTGTTGTTTATTATTAAGTGTAAAAACATTTGTTTATATGGAATATATTGATTTCCATCCGACAATATTTGACGGGAGACTGAAAACAAAAGTGAGTGATAGGATTATTTAGTTTGACCATGAAACAATAAAGGGAATGATAACCATAATTAATAAAAGTATTCGTTTTTTTTATAATTTTTCTTTTGGTTTATACAAAGTAAATGTTATTTGTGAACTTAATAATTACATTTGCTTTCAAATCTATTCAGTGAATGTTAATGCACAAATGTTGTCTAATATATTAAAGAGGTACTCATATTAATTTTTACTAGAAAATGTCTTTATAATTACTAATTTGTGTTTGTTGAATGGATTGTCAATTACCTTTATCACAGAAATCACCTGAATATCCAAGTGGACATAAGCATTTTGAAGAAGGCGAATGTAAGTTAGTATAGCATTGTCCCTGGTTATAGCACAAAAACGATCCACATATTGTTGCACCAGGTATGGGTATGGAATGCTGAGAAGTAGCATGTTCTGTTACTGTTTCATTGTACTTTTGCAGGAAAGGTTGGTTCTTCTTACGATTTATTATGTTTTTTTCATCAATCTTATCAGATGAAGAATTGTAGGTGGGATCTTCAACTTCAACTTCCATAATCATAGACCAATCATTATCTTCTTGATTTTCTTTAGCTAGCAAATCTTGAACAGGATTCAAAAGACCTAAGGTGGAAAATAAAAGTAATTTATTAGGAACCAACACCAAGGAGTTGTCTTGAAAAAGCACATTAATCATGAACTGTAAGTGAAGGATGATTTTAATGGTGATATTCACTTAACTAATATTATACTAGAATTACCAGAGAACTTTTAAGATTTCACTTGACAAACATGAATTTAACGTTAAAAATGATCTTAATTGTTAAATGTACACTACAAATTTTAATTTGCATCCTTCCCAAAACACTATATAGTAAGTTGTCTTACCTATTTCTTCTGTTAAAGAATACATCGTCAATCAAAATAGTAGGTATTGTAGTTATATTACGACATATAAAAATGCTTCTGACGGTTAAGTAATTCTATTCATCTGGACAATTTATCTTAGAAAATTGTCGGCATGGATTTACTCTATGAATTTTTCTCTACAAATTCATCTACACACGTATATCAAAACTCATTACAACTAAAAGATTAAGCGTAATCATTGAATACTTCTGCATTAATCGAGCAATCAAAATTCTTAAAATACAATTATGTTTATTGTTTTTGATTGATTCACATTTACTGTTTTCAGGATATCAATAGACAAGTAAACTAGAAATAAATGAAGCTTACCATAAAATTAAAGATCTGTGATCTTATGACAACAGTGAATAGGTCATCACCTTAAACTATTTTTAACTCATACATTTTCCATTATACAAATAACGAGTTATATACTGTTTAAATAACTCCAATATCATTGAAATTTTAAGAACCTTTAATGCTTTTTGATTAGTAGTTTTAAAATATGTTTTTTTTTCTCTGTTGATTAATCGCTGTTAGTAGTGACAGCTGAAGGAGATATGAATTTTATCCAAACTACTTAGTGTTGTCAAAGGCTCTTATAATAACACGGACCAAATTACAGTACAGTTTTTTCTTATTATCACATAGGTAACCAATTTTATAACACCATAACAGTATGATAAATAAAAATGATTAAGTAATTGTTTGACAACTTTATCTAAACATCACTGGTGTTCCTATTGATATTATGATAGGTATCTATCAAGAATTAAAAAAGCTTGGTGGTCAAAACTCTTCATTTTTACATTGTATAGCATTGAAAAAAATCTCAGTTACTTATTCACTCTGATAGTCCTTTAGCTTTGCTATCTAGATACTTTATAAGTAAACCAATTACTCAAAGAATGATAATAAAACTCCTATTTTGATACGTTTATTCTTCTCACTACAAAGTTTATTGTAACTCATTGATGAGTTTAAAGTATTAAGATTTAAATGCAAAAAATCTATCAGTGAAATCGTTGACAAATCACTTAACATATTTCTTTCTCAGTATCGTGGATTTACTGAATTGCTATAACCATCCTACTGCAGTTGTTCAAAAATTGATTACTAGACAAGTGTTCAATTTAGTAAATAACCTTTCCAAAAATCTATTATCAATCAAAAGGATTATATTTGGATACCGGACATTAGTTCATGAACCTTTAGTTTATTGAATTCAAACACCTTGAATTCGATCTACGAATAAATAATCTTGTTAAAAGTTGCCTAAAAGTTGTCCTTTTAATAAATTATAAATAAATATTTGTAATATCCCAATGAGTAGAAAATGAGATTTTCTGACGTTTCGTGACTTAGTGTAAGTCACTTCTTCAGAGAATAAATAACCAAATTAAAATTAATCCAAGTTTAAATAGTACAACGGAACAATGCAAGAATAATATTGGATCAATCAAAAAAACAGGTCTGAACAAGTTGATGTCATGTCATTTCTGTCAAGGTGATTCATAAGTGATATGTATGTAAATTTGTGTGTGTATGTGTATATGTGTGTATATGTGCATTGTTTAAGAATGAAAACTTGTGTGACCTTTATGGTAAGAAAGGATAGAGTTTAAATTTGTAATATGATAGTGTGAAATTGTAAATACGATCAGACTGAGTGGCTAGGATAGATGGTCCAAGTAGGATGTATGATGAGGCCTACCTTTCTATTTAGAGAAGTAGGATTAAGCATTATATGGTTATTTGTTCTCTGAAGAAGTGACTTACACTAAGTCACGAAACGTCAGAAAATCCAATTTTCTACTCATTGGGATATTACAAATATATTATTTTTATTTATTTTTAATTATATGGAACGCTTCAGCTACCCTCCTTTCTCTGTACTTGGAAAAGCCTTTTTCCAATATTTGGATGTTTTTAAAATCAAACTGGTGGTTGTTGAAAATGGCATGAACTCCTATTGCCGATTTGGTTTGAAGTTGATCCAATTCTACAGGACTGTTAAGAGGTTTCTTTGTGTACCTAATATGTTCTTTGGCTCTAGTCAAGATTTCGCGGGATCACTCTCCAATATAGAAGGCATCACAATCGATACAACCTAATTTGTAGACGCAGTTCTGTGTGGACATGAACGGGATTTTTTTTCGTTTTTTTTTCTACTCATTAGGATATTACAAATATATTATTTATATATAACAATCTATCCAATGCTCAGTTTATTCGAAATTATCAAATCAAACCTTGGTAATGATACATTTTAATAAATTAGTTTATCTGAATCATTTAGTTTAAGTGAAACTCCAGTTGTTAACAAAGTGTGAAAGATTAAATAGTTTCCACTTATAAAATTTACTAATATACTTTTCAGATAACTTTTGTGTTATCGAAGTCAATACATCCTCCCATAAAACTATACAGATATCATTATACATAAATATAATACAAGTAGAACTCATGATCTATAGTCTCAGAATGTAAATGCCATATGATGGTCAGTATAAAAGATATACATACAACAGTCACTGTTAAGATGGATACTTCATTATATCTTTATTTATACTGTTATTATTTGATTGTTATCGGTCATAAATATTAGAAACGTCCAAGTGTAACCTAGTAGAATAGCACTATAATGATTTATCCGGCAAAACGACATTGTTTTATATGATGTTAAAAAATCGAATAGAATATTACAAGTATGGTTGATACAAAGAAATGTCTGATGTAAATTCTGTATCAGTGATTATAATTATATAAGAGCTCTTTGAGGCAAGGAAACAAATTTACCAATCCTGTCCATAATAAAAGTCTGAAAGTCTTATGGTAAATTAAACTTCTATCACAAAACATAAATCTCACAGTACGTTAAGAAGTTAGAACATATCTCAGGTTGAAAAAAAAACATTTTCCGGTTAGTTATAACAAGAACAAATTTAAAACAGAACACCGGAATTATTTCCTAGCTAATGGTATTGTTTTCGAAATCATTTAATAAAAAACAGGACCTAGCAATTACCTATGCAACAAGACCTTTTGACTACATTCTCCTGTCTTAAATTTCCTCTCACATTTGTGTAGTCAGTGCTGGTAGCACATATAGAATTCTTACAAAGCAATGGCTGTGAAAATAACTGCTGTATTTTACAAAATAATTAACTATGTCGTAAAATCTACATCTGATTCCAACTCAGTGACTGAGTGGAACTATGATAATAACGAAACTTCAAGGTCCTAACTCCTGTAATGTGTATGTTTGAGTATCCTAATCTAATATAAGACACCTGCTTAGTGCTCTCTGACTATCTACGATTTTCTATTCCACAGTAATCTAAGTTGAAGACCATGACTAAATATATGAATATTAATAATTTGCATAAAATGGAATCTTACCAAAATATAGTACGATGATAGCAAACATGACGACTGCTTGTCCTGATTACGAAACAAATGTTTACTTTCTCCGAAAATATCCCACTTGATTTGTGCTCATTTGAAACATTCCCTTTTTTGACAAAGCTTCATAGAAAAATTTTGGAAATTTATTCAAGAAAACCTCATAAAACAACTGATAATTCTATTGGTTATTTTTTGTGGATTATGATTGGTTCGAAATTCAACGCCTATCGAGGGTAGAACTCTACAACATAGTGTATCTACTTTATTATCTGTATTGAAATTTTTTTAATGAATATTTCAACATTTTGAATAAGTGGAATACTGTTCTTCCAAATAAGTTGATCAAAAGTATGCCACCTAGTGTACGTTTCTATGTTTATGAATCCTGGGCAATTCACTATACCTAACTTCGTTTTCATGTAGATCAGTGTTGACTCGCGGTGTACTTTTTTATGAATGTCAGAATCATCTATTGAGCTTTTAAAAATGACCATTTCTTCCTATTTTCATGTACGCTGTATGTACTCTGTTTTAACTACATTCGACTCTTAATCACAACGATATTTTCGATAGTTTAGAACGCGCTAAAATTAAGTTGATCAAAGCAAGAAAGATTAGTTCAGTGAAGAGTTCCCTTTTCGACGAATTCATTTTCAAAGCTGCACAATAGCAAATATATATACTTATTTTTACAAAATCATGATATTACTGATAATAAACTTCTGTTATACATGGTGACAGTGAGGTTAAATAAACAAAGGTATTTAAAAAATTTCTTAAAACAAGGACAGTTTAATAATCGTTTGATAGTTAATGTCTTAAGTATTCATCAAAAGAAAGATAGGGAAGTTATCATTTGGAAAGGATGGCTCAGCGTGATAAGATAAAATATTGAAATTGAGATTAAATGTGATCAGAATGATCGTGGAAACAAAATAAACCAGTTGGGGGTAGAGGATTTAAGGGGAAGATGTAAGGGGAAGCAGATGGCTGTCACCATGTCTAGCAGAAGTTTATTATCAGTAATATCATCATTTTGTAAAAATAAGTATATATATTTGCTATTGTGCAGCTTTGAAAATGAATTCGCCGAAAAGAGAACTCTTCACTGAACCAATTTTTTCTTATTTAATGTCTTAATGGGTGTATTCCGTTTACAAAGCACGAAACTATGGTAAAAAAAATTGACTCACTATACAACTAACCGATGATTTTACTACAGCAAAGTAAACCGTTTCCAACAAATATTATTTTGGTTCGTCTTTTTGAGTTAGATAAAGGAATCTCTAGGATTAATTTGTCTAAAGTCAACCCCGAAATTCTACCAACATTTTGACAAGCATACATAAAGGGACTACTAGCAATCGATAAACATCAAAATATTAACTTTCCGCGATTCATTATACTTAAATGCCACTGAGATATTACTAGGCCTAGGAATTAAGGTTTTGGTTAAATTAAAACCGTTTTTGTTTCTTTCATCCCTTACCACGTGAAAATACAGGAGTTTATGTCTGTTTACAACCACAGAATAATGAGTGAGAAATCTGAGTAGAAATTAGTTCACCAACAAATAATTTTGTAACCATTCGCACACGCTGTGGCTTATTTCATGCTATACTGAATAATGATACGAAGGTTTATCTTTCAGCAAATCCATTGCTTTTACCGTGTATAAATTCTTGAAATGGTACTTATAGCTTTAACCTTCTGCATGATTCAATATAAAGAATTCAAGCTGAAATTTTTAAAAAACCTAAATCTAACTTAATCTCTAGTAAGTAAATGAAATGAGAAAAAACAGTCCTCTCAACTTGTTTCCCATGTTTCCAAACTTAACACGAGGTCAGTGTATGCATTGCGAATGCTTCAGTGGTACGTCATAAATATAGTTTCACCAAACTCGTTAGTTGTATGTTCACATGATGCCCTTTAGAGTTGCCTTAAAATTGTTAATTATCTTAGAAATGTTGTGCTGTTAATCAAACCTACAAATTCATGTATAGGATTTTACTTGAATTATATAAATGTACTTGATATCATTATCTGAATCCTTTCTGATTTCAAATGACCGAACAACCGGAAAGTTCATTACATACACGATAGTGGGTAGCGTCGATGGCTTGTTGATTTTGAATAGTTCTATAAAAAACTGAAGCACTTCATTTCGAAAAAGTACACATTCTTTTTTAAAACTGACAACGTTATTCTCAAATATACTGCTCTGTATCTTAGAACCTTTATTATTATAAGAATCGTGTTAATGTTTAAGCAATTTTATTTGACAACTTCAACCTGTCTTCTTATCAAGAAGCACTTGTTGGTGTCTCTTCTCAATGTTGATGTTGTTGTTGTTGTTGTTGCATGATGTCTAGTTTTTCGTGCAGTTGCATTTGATCCAATCAAATTGTTTTAACTTTTCGAAAGTTTTTATGCATTCAAATGTTTTATTACAGCAACAAAGTTTACAAAATAGTAAGTTGTACTTCATTAGTAATGATTTCCTATTTAATGGAATAACCAACGACAGCATTTCGAATTATATTTTTGTGATGAGAACTCATAAACACTTTGAATAACAATGGAAAAAATAGTGTTTTATTAGTCTTAAACACCGTTTTCTTTCAAAATAAGCACCGTGGAAGAAATATGAAGACTGTTGGATTAGATAATAATCAGGATCACAACTTGTCTTTATGTAAACCACTGGAAAATAGAAAGCACTGAATGGCTGTTTCATCCAAGTATGGGAATCCCTAGGGATCAGCTTATGCCAGCATATATATGTTTACTATTGAATACTACATCACTTCAAGACAGTTCTCTAAATATCTTTGGTTTTCGGTGGTTGCCTTCTCAGTGTGTTAAACCACAAAACATATTGTCTTCTAAATTGCTAGATAAATCCTGAATCAAGTGCTTTCCCAATAATACGATTAATACTAGGCTACGCTTAACCATACTTCAGTTTCGTATTTGCATTTCAAACAATCTCTTTCCTTATTGTCACAAATTTATGATCACTCATAGTTATTCCGTACCTTTAGTTGCTTCGTTAAAATCATGAATGAACCTAAGTTAGATCATAATTGAAAACCCGGAAGCACAAGACAGGTGTTTCGTCTTGCTACGAAACTCCTCACTAGTGCGCATCCACGACCACGCACATGAAAATGAACACAGGACCTTTGGTCTGGTGCGCAAACATACAAACTCTTGACCACTGAGCCAGCGATGTCAATGTTTAACATCAATCAATCCAACCATATTCCACTGTCTTCGGTAAGTAACTGCTTTGCACTAGACGCAGCTTAGCTCCACTGGTCACAGCTTTTCACTAGAATTTACTAGAACACTATTGAAAGGATTTATCTGAAATAACTAGGCAATTAGATTTCAGTATTTTGTAAAATGTCGCCCAACAGAGAGAAGAAGTGAAATCCCCATATAATAGAACAGACAACGAAAAATCCCAAAATCGAAGTAGGTTTATTTAAAGTCAATGAATTTCTTACACCATCTCCATTAACAATAGCGTATTTTTCATCAGTATTTCCTGTACAAAAACTTCATTTCATATTCCATATCTCAATATAATAAAATAACTCCACGAAATCACCTAGAAAGTAATAATCATACTAGCTAATTAACAAAAAACGGAAAAGTTACTTTACTAACACTTCATTTTTCAGAACTACGGACAAAATACTTTATCATAATTTGCGCCTGAACCTGAACATGTTAACTCAATTTTCATACATACTAGTATCAACCAGATTTCATTCATTCCCACAAGATTCTAACCTAACACTTATACCTTTGAGGATTTTAACACTGGATATAGATATTAATGCAAACCAATTTCTAGTTGGCTCGCTAATTTGACTCTATCACAATATAACTTTTCAGTAGCATTAATTATAAGATTATACATTGAGTCCAACAAAACTACTAAGCGGATGACAAATGGAAAAGGAGAAACAACATAAAACTTTCATTTTATATCATTATTTTATGCTTAATTAACGCATAAACATTACGAAATACATCTGACTTGAAGCTATGAAACACTGTTTTCAAGAATTAAAAACTGAAGCAGCACGAAACTATCTAACTAATGAGTTAGTATAATTTTCTATAAAACTATTCATCCTCATAAGGGTCGCAGAAATATGGTGCGTATATTTCTGATTTTAAGAAAATCCGAAAATGTATTTCTATATAAGTGGCCTTCAGTTGTTTCTTAAACATTTATGAATATAAATTCTAAACATTACTACTTCGAAACCACACCCCAGGAAACCAACCAGTCGAATTTTATCTTCTGATAGGTGTTAACCTTCAGATATTAAAAAACTGAGATTCTACATTGTACTCTATCACAGTTTAATTTCTTGAGTGATAGTGTAAACATAAATTTTTGTATAACCGTTAGCTGACGTAAAGAGGACTGACACTGTAGACTGCAAAATAAACCTATTTATCATGCAATGATTCCTGTGTATAACTGTGTTTTCAAATGGATCGTTGCTCATCGAAATAAAACGACTGATACTTCCCTATAATCATTGGTTCAGTTAATGGTTTTATCAGATCCTTTTAATGAAATTACCTTTCCATGAAAATGTGGAAGTTTGGCAGATTTTGAATACACTCATCTCTGAAGAAAATACTTAGATTTGATGCTACACCTATTCTTAGTGATAACAAACAATTTTCTGGATTTTGTTTGAGGCTTTTTAATACAGGGAAAATTTAAAAAATCTTTTATTCATATAACTTTCTTTATATTTACTTCTATTTTCAGACATCTTTCTCAATTTTGGAGTGTTCAAACAAAAATCCAGTTAATTGTATCAAGGTGATTGAAGATTGACCATATTGCTTTAAATATTCTACAAGAAGCCATATAACTCTGAAAGCCATAAGCCCTGACTTTACTAGTAGTATTCTAGTAAAGAGCGTTCACAATGTTTATGTACTTCTGGAGTACGCCTTTCAATGACAGACACTGCCACAGAA